ATATAAAATAAAAAATAATTACTATTATTATTTATTTATTTTTGAGAGTCAAAAAATCAAAGAGAATTTCCAGCATCTGTTTTTTTGAGTGCAGAGTTCCAGGTCATTCTTAAAATGAAAGAGAATGAGGTCCATCTCTAAACCCAGCATAGGTAGAAGAGAACAGACCTACAACACAATCTACTTAGAGGAAACCTTTAGTGAGAGAATATAGAGGCTGCCTCTACTGACCTCTCGCTTCTGACCTCTCTGAAAATACTATTTGTCTGGCTGTCATGCTGTTCCAGTGGATTCAGTACTTTCTAAATCACTGACCAACCTGGAATGTGTGTGCAGCAAAGTGGTTCGGACTTCAATCTGACATTCAAATAAGCATCCTTGTTCCAGGCAATTGGCCCTGACAATATTGAAACCAGAGACAGCCAGACAACTAATATTCTTAGGGGCAGCTTATATATTTCTCTTACTACAGGTTTTATTTAATATACTGGCTATAAAAATATAACACACACATACACACAATTTTTCCATATATTTGTTACATTTCAATTCTGTAAAAAACATGTATGATGAAGTGTTGCAGACTGCTGCACTACTCTGGACCTGGACTGTACAGATCATGACTTATCATGTGCGTGCCTAATAAAAGTGTTGTATTCATTTTGTCTAATTATTGCACTATTAAATATTTAGTTGCTGCTTTATTGACAAATTGCCTATTTTTTCTAATAACTGGAGAACAGTATGATACATAGGAGGTAAATTGTACTGTTCATATAACAGCAAAACAGTATATTAATAAATACAAATTTTTTTGCATTTTCTAAAAGCCAAATTTAAAAGTAACCAGATGTAGTAATATTAATAGTGAACTGTTACACAGTAGTAAAATATTCCTAACTAAAGCTTGAATCAGAAAATATAAATGTAGTCATGGTGTCCTTATACTCAAGGTAACCAAACACTATAAATAAGCAATAAATAAATGCTGCTGAGATTTTGCACAGACATTATGCAGTAGAGCCGGGCCTGAATGGCTATGTAATATTTTATAAAATTTTTGCTTAGTTTTGATCACTTTTAATTTTAGATTGGTATTCTCTTCGGTGCGGGAGAGCAGCGGCGAGTCAGCGCTGGTCCGGTGGGAGAGTGCAGCTTACATGCTGATAGGGATCAGGCCCAGCGCTACAGGGGGTCAGGGAGGGAGGGAGGTGCAAAAATGCAACTTTGCCTGTCAGAGAGTAGATGTGGTGCTTAGAAAGACACACATTATTACATGGGCTCATAAAAGCATGTTTCCATATCAAAGCAAAGCCAGATGATATCTGCATTAAAATATAAATCTTGCATAGAGATTATTGATCACTATGTAATAATAGACAGTAGTGACCATGTGATTGCTTCAGTTTCATGAACGGCATCAGTAGTCTAAAAGGTAATATATATATATA